TTTCAAGCACCTATAAAGCAGCTTGAGCCAAAGTAAATTTATTCACGTGTGCAAGAGTAGAAATTTTGAAAACCTTAACTATGTTAACTATTGTGGTCCTATCCAGAATTGAACTCATCATCTTTGGCTAACAAATTTCTGAAGATATTAAACTCTCACTCCTCAGCTTAATTTTCAGACATGGAAATTAGCTTACTTTCAACAGTCTATGTAGAATATGCTCAAGCTAAAATGAAGGAATTGCTTAGCTGGACTGAAAATAAATAACTCTGGCCAAAATACAATTACAAAATTGATTTTTCACCAAAAAAGAGACAAAAGATAGAATTAAAAGACCAGACTGGTTGCAAAAGGATTCTAAGATGAAGGCTCAGGATATGTTAAAAGTGACTACTCTACTTGCTCAAAGGAGAGCCTACAAATTATTCTGACCATCATTGTGGCTTTGAGGTGGCATGTCATTCTCTGGATATAAAGACAGCATTTTTGCAAGGGAAGCAGTTTGAAAGGACAGTCTTTATAAAACCTCACCAGAAACTGAAGTTCCAGATTTTTATATATGGAAGTTAAATAAATGCATATATGGACCGAATCATTGTTCTCGAGAATGGTGTTTAACAGTTAAAGAAGAGCTAACATAGGTACCTCCACGCTAAAAAAAAAGATATATAGCATGATGAAAAAGATATATAAACTTGACGAAAACAAAATTTTATCGTCTAAATGTTTGTTATTATTAAGAGGAAAGATCAAAATTTTGGGGGGGTTTTTTTTCCATTTTTTAATTGTTCCTAGCACGTCCGAAATTTTCGTTAAAAATCTAGTTTTTTTTTTTTTTGAGTCAGCAAAATTCACCTTTTTTTTTTTTCCATTTAAAAAAAACTGGAAATCTCACTTTGAAATTTTTTTAAATATCAATTATCATTTTTTCAAAACTTATTTTAAGAAAATCAGAAATTATAATGTTTATTTAAAATATTTTGAACCAAACTTAACTTTTGTGCCAAAAAAGATGTAATTTGAAAATAAAAACAAAGCAGGTCATAAACTTTCGCGTCTCTTGACAGGTGATGAATGATATATTCATGGAATTCCATAAATATGTAATTCATTCTACGGAAGGAGAAAAGTGAAATAATTTACATTTAAGTGAACAAATTATTTCTCATTATTTTTAACGAAAACTTTCAGCGGTCTTTTTTTTTTTTTTTTTGTACTTAGCTTTCACCTTTATGTTTATGATGCTTTATGGAAAATATATTATAAAGAAATTAAAATAAAACTGTTAAGAGTGACATTAAATTTCATATTTCCTAAGAAATGTATCTAATTAATTTATAGGTACCTTTCTTATGAAATTTTATCAGAACTGTACATAAAATACTATAATTTTATGTACATTTATTACATTTTACTGTTATTTGTATTTGCATTCATTTTATTATTAATTTTGATATTTCATTTATGGAAAAATATCATAACTGAGATTAATGTAAAAATAAGATCATATTAATTTCATAAGATGATACTGATACTTGTAGGTAACCTTCTCAGTTGAAATTGAAAAATCAAATTAACTTCTCCACATGTGTTTCGCAAAAGTAAAGGCCTTAACAGCGGAGAACAATGCTTAACTCAAATAACGCAACTTAATTATATTCTGGTTGGTCTTCCGTATTTTATAATTACAGCTCGATTATAAAACACAAAATTACATTTCTTAATTACTGGGGATCTTCTGATTAGTCAAAACGATGCGCTAAAAAAAGATCTATCTCATAAGGACACTTAGGAAAGCGGATGCGGCTTTTAACTAATTTTATAATATTTTAACAACTTAAATGTAAAAATCTATTATAATTAAAGAAATAACAAATAATTGTATTAAAAATTCATTTTTCATTGAAAAAATTTTTTGCTTTCAGAAAATATTGTCCATATTCATAAAAACAACTAAAAGCAAATAAAAGCATTTGAAATTAAATAATATCTTTGTTTTATTGAGTTTTGTATGTTACAATTCAGAGCTGATTTTCAGGTATGTTGGCTCCAATTAAAAACAAAAAAAAACATGATTTGCATTCCTCAAAGCCCTGTGCTTTTAATTATTGTAATCACTAAAACCGATGCGATCGAATTTCTAGCGTTTTCGTAAAATTAGTTATCGGGGGGTAATAAATATTTTAAAAAAATATTTCTGCCATGACTTTAATAAAAAAAAAACATATTTATAATAATTTCAATCATCTGTGAATAGTTCCTGAAAGTTTCATTAACATCCGACAATTATTTCTATTTTTGCACGATTTTTCAAATTAATGTGTGTCATACCAAAAAAACGTGCTAAAAATTGTCTGTTATTTACTAGTTCTGCTGATACAAATAGAAACAAGGTTTTTTTAATCAAAATTTAGAATATTCTAAAAAGAAGGAAAAAATTTTTAAAATAATTAAAAAAAAAAACTTTGATCTTTCCTCTTAATAATAACATAAGCATTTAGACAATAAAAGTTTGTTTTCGGCAAGGTTGGTGTCTTTTTCATCAAGCTATGCTCTTTTTTTTTTTTTTTTTTTTTTTAGCGATTTCGTGGAGGTACCTAAGCTAACATAATTGGTTGTCTAAATATGACCAAGCTGTCTTTATATGGTATGATGATAAGATTAATGAAATCATATCAACACATGTGGATGACTTCTGGGCAGACACTGAAAAATTTGAAGGAAATGTGATAAAGAAAATCAAGCAAATCTTTATGGTCAGAGAAAACTTCAAGTTTCAAATATCTTGGTCTTGAAATTTGTCAGTGAAAGGAGTCCATAATAATTAATCAAAATGAGTTTGTCAAATCAATCCCTATGATATCTATAAAGACTGACTATAATTCAAACTTGGTTTTGTCAAATGACGATCTCAAATTAGGTAGAAGCACAATAGGAAAGTTAAGGTGGAGAGTATATTGCTGGTAAATAAATCAGCTAAAAAGGTAAGAAAATCTCCTCCAGGATGTTAACACCCAATTTAGGTAATCTTGCAAGAATGAAACTGGTAGCATATAGTGTTGCAGGACTTAACAATGGAGGATCTTAAGTGGGATACATTGTCTTTCTTGTGGTTGATAATGACAGTTATGTTCCTTTTTCTTAGCAATCTCATAGCATCAAGAGAGTTGTGAAAAATATGCAGGCAGCAAAGACACTTGCTTTGGTTGATACTATGGGAGCATGCACTTTTTATAGAAAATATCTTGAACATTTATCTATTGAAGACAAACGAAAATATCTTTCACTAATATATAAAACTGACAATGTAGGCCTATATGAGTCTGCTCACTCTTCTACTCAAATATTGGATAAAAGACTGAGAAAGAAACTGCAATTATTTGTGGAATGTTTGAACAAAGGGTAATACATAAACTTGAATGGATTTCAGGCTTGAGCCAAGTTGCAGATTGCCTGACTAACAAGATTCTGGATCATGTATGTGGGCCTAGAATCTTTCTTTCAAGAAAAAAAAAATGTACATGTGTGATAAATTAGCTGCCATGATGGTCTACATGAAAAGTGAATAGGGGGAGAATTGTTAACTATATTGACTCTTGTGGTCTTACCAAGGCTTGAACTTGCCATCCTTGGCTAATAAATTTCTAGATATTAGACTCCCACACCTCAGTTTAATGGATTTGTTTTAAGTGGTGGAGCAGGTTTGTCTCCCTTTCTGCCAAAGTGGATTTAACCTTTAGGTATTATTTAGGTTTATTGAAATTTTTCTTCAGTGATATATTTTTCTATGTTTGGTGAAGTGCTGTAACTCGGTCGTGCATTAATTTGGCATAGGCTTGCCAGGCAAATACAAAAGAAATAAAGAAATTAATATTTTCTAAATAAAGTTCAAATTAGGCAATTGGGTGAGGTAGTCTCTTCTACCCTTCTTGTGTACAATTATATTACGCATATATTATGTCACAAGGGAGATAATTTGAACGATTTGTATTAAGGTATAATTTAAATAAATAATTTATTCATTTAAGAATGCTTAAACAATATCAAATTAATTTTTAAATTTTCTTTACAATAAAAATGTTTTATGAATACTGGTTTTTGTTTATGATGTTGTTTATACTGGGCAATTACTATTTATATTATTAGTTATAAAAATAGTGTAACACTCATTTGTACAGATTTATTCTCATAAAGAAAAATAACAACAAAAAATAATCCTTTTAAAGTGAACTTGTATTGTGTTAACTGTTTGTGAACTACTATAAACATTAAAAGTGTATTGGGATTTACAAGTTTCTGTAAAAGTTTATATTCCCAGCATATTTAAACACTTAATAATGAAAAAACCTTTTTAAAATTTTATACTGTTTTTAATAGTACATGTAGTGTAACACTTATTAAAGTTCAGGGAGTGGAATCATTGAGCCAAGTCCAAATTGCTAGGAACTTTTGCATACATCCAATATTTATAAAGAATGATAAACATATTAAAGCATATCTGGAAGATATGCTTGTTTACTATATAACAAACTAATTTCATATTTTTATTTTTAATATATGTATATGTGTGCATATAATTATTAACTTCAAGTGATTAATCAGGCTGATAAAATTAAAACAGCCGATTCAATTAGGAAAAAAAGATTACAATACTTGAATGGTATGCAGAGATATGAACAAAGGAATTGTGTGTAGTGATCAGTTACAATGAAAAGAGAGAAAAGCATGATCATTCATTTTTCTAGCATATAATTATGCCAAATATTGAGAGAAGTTAGTGTGAAGACAAGAAAAGAAAGCATATCAAATCACACATCACATTAATTGAAATTATTCTTTGTTTTGCTTCAAAAATAATTGGTTTGTATGTGTGTATGTGTATTAGTATCATGTAGACACCTAGTTCCTCAACTTGAAGTCATTGAGATAAATCCCAAAGTGTAATTTCCTTTCTCTTTTAATGTTTTCTTTCTATTCTTAAAATATTTTTTGTATTACAGGTCACTGATACAAATGTGCAATGTGGAGAATTTGAAAGTGGAAATGTTGAAGATCGATATAAAATTTCTGAAGACGCTTATGCCAAACAAAAAGGTTAAGTCATCTCTTCAACAAAATATGTTTACAGAATCTGGTATTTACAAAAATGTATAATCTCCATCAGTGGATAATACTTCATCTATTCTTTGCAAATTTTATTTCAGTTTTTATTTTGTTTATTGTAAAATCTTCTTAGAAATGCTAAATAAGTGGAGCTAATTAGTGTTACCAAGTTAAAAGCAGTTTCAAAACCATAAGAATTTGTTAGTTAATGTTTAATATCTGGCTATTTTTCATAACTTTAATATAACTTATAGGAATTTTAGATTCTATAGTTATGTATATATTATTGATGTATATGTAGATATCTTATTTTTTATTAAATACTTTTTTAGGAATATATTTGTTGAATCTTATGGAGATTGTTAGAGCAATCCAAACTTGTGTAATGACTTTGAAATTTGCTCACCATAAAATGTAATTATAGATTTCTATTCACCTACTTGAGACATGAGAGTATGTACAAAAAGTTGGTATAACAATAGATGATTTTCATTTTAAAAAAAAAAAAAAGTGCTTTTAAAGTACATTTGAAAACTAATAAAACCAATATACAAGGCTGAATTATAAAAAAAAACTACTTTATTCAACTGCTCTATATCTCCATATATGTAGATTTAAAAAAAAATAATTTTGCATCTATGGTAGTCTTTAAAATGTTATAAAAAAAAAATATGAAAAAATCTTTAACTCTTTTTTTTCTTTTTTTTTTCTTTTTTTCAATTTGCAGATAGCTTTCGAGCTTTTAAAGAACAGAATTTAAAAAATATGTACCAGGCCAAAGATCAAATGGAGGCAAAAAATCAGGAAGAAAAAGAAAAAGAGGAAGAAGAGAAAGCAGCAACTATCAAGATTGATGATAGGTTGGTTTTTGTGTGTATTTATGAAATAAAGCCTTAATCATTACACTACCTTGTATATTAGCATACCATACATATTAGGCATATAGTTTTAACCTGATAATTATTGAACAGAGCTTGTAACAGAAATAGACTGTAAATAGATGAAATGTAATGTGGCTTTGTTCAAAAACATTGGGACAAGAAATTAATTGTCTCAGAAGATTAGAAGACTTATCATGATGTTATCTTGACAGTGTACACTACACAGATGACACCCTGTTGATGGCAAATTCAAAAGAATTACTGAAAGTAAGAAAGGAGTAATCATTAACTTAAGACAATTTATGATTATCAGTAAAAAAAAAAAAAAAAAAAAAAGATAGCCCATGGTGTGAGCTGCATTCAACATCAAGCAGATGCAGAAATTTTAATATGGTACAAAACAGAAACATAGCATTCTGAAGATATGTAGGAAATAACAGAAGATAATAAGGAAGTGAATATATATATATATATATATATATATATCCTGCCTCTTTAGGACAAAGGTGGTCATGGTTTCATTTTCTTTTTATTATCCATGAATTACCATAATTTCTTAGGAAAGATAGTGTTTTCCCAATGCCTTTTCCATGATTCTGAATTCAGTGTTTTTTTTTTTTTGTTTTTTGGGTTTTTTTTTTTTTTTTTTTCAAATTTTATATACTTATGATAGACATGAATGGTACCTATTTTACATCTCTAGGTCTATGGTTCAAGAGATATGTCCCTTGCCAAAAAGATAAATTTGGAAAATAGTCACACAGTTTAAATATCAACATCTCAGTTGTTTTTTTTTTTTTTTTTTTTTTTTTCAACCTAAAAAGATAAATTATATACCATTTTAAAGTACTTGGATAGATCTAAAAGGTGATCTATTTATTGTTTTAAAGGTCAAATAAGATAATTTGAACTTGACCTTTAATCTCTCAAAAAATGTTTCTTTAATTTTTCAGAATGGTGTATTTTAGTATTTGTCACTATATGGTAACATTTTCATATTTCCCACTATGGTCATGTTGTATATCTTTAGAAAGCTCTTTAAATGCTCATTCATATTCACATAAGAACTATGATCATAAAATGAACAGAATTTGTGGTATTTGTGGTTAAATGTTGACCAATTCAGTGGTAATTAATATTTTTAGTTTTGTTCACATTTTGATTATACAACAAATAGATTTTTATATGAAAAAGTAACAATGAAAATAATTATTTAAAAAATTGTTATGAATTAATGTTAAGATAACACAAAATAGTATGAAAATAAGCAGCAGATGTTGTTAATGGGTAGCAAATTTTTGTTGACATGGTATACTAAATGCACAAAACAATCAAATGTTCATTTAAGCTTTGATCTGAAGAAGTGATCTATTAAAATGGATATTTAAAAAAGATTCTTAACATTTACAAAAAGATTAACAAGCAAATCTATTGTTGAATAAAATTAACAGCATTACCTGACTTTTCTGAAAGTACTTCAGCATCAGCTGACGACTATTCCCAGCCTTCTAGCATTTTTGTAGATGCTGAAAATAAATTGCAGCTTCTTAATGCATCACTGTCAATGATTGGTGAATCACCAATTAAGCATCAAAAACTTGAAAAATAAACCAGTTTTGAGGAATAAAAAGTAGGAAAAATTAAAGGAGCAGTATGAAGAAATGCATTAATTTCAACTCTTCATATTAATAACTGCATTGTTTCTTTCCAGCTAAATTGACTATTCAAAAAAATCTTCAAGAGTAACTTGTAGAAACATCTCTTGAAAATGTATAAAATTTGGCATCATGGCATTAAGTACCTGCACAAAAAGTGTTTATCCTCCAAAGACATTCATGCTGACATGGGTGCTACATTAGTGGATGATGCTCCAGCTTTATCAACAGTGCAAAAGAAGGCAATTGAATTTTGGAGGGGAAAGGAGTTTGAAGATGAGCATCCTGCAACTGCCACCACTGAAGAAAACATTGGTTGTGTTCACCACATGGTGATGGACTATAAATCAAATAGTTAATGCTATTAGCATATCCCTTGAGAGAGTTGAGAATATTCTGCTCAATGAACTTGGCAGGACAAAGACTTCTGTTCAGGTGATGTCATGTCTTCTGACACCTAATCAAAAGCATACCATTCTGATCACAGGAAAATCTGACATTGTTTGAGACAGATCTTGAATGTTTCCTAACTCAGGATGAATGTTGGGTCCACAGATAATCCATGCAGTGAAAACACCCCTCTTCACCTGCTCCAATGAAGGCCAAGGTCATTTCATCTGCGGAGAATGCGATGACTTCAGTTTTTAGGATGCAAAAAGTATTGTGTTTATTGACAATCTTCAAAAGGGCCACACCATCAAGGGTGAGTACTATGCCAACTTGCTGAGACCGTTACAAAAGGTTATCTGTAATGAGTTGACTGGTCAACTTGACACCCCCAAAGTGAGTGGAGGTGGGCAGGCGCAGGAACTGTGATTGGTAACTGGCTTGTTGGTGTTTTGCATAGGTGAGTTACCAAGCTCTATGTAAAGGGCTGGAATGAGAAGGAGGGCAGTTTTTGTCTCAGAAGTGGAGACTGTGCCCGTCGCTATGACAGCAGGAGAGAAAGAGACAAAATCATTTATTTTTTCGTGATACATTCCAACACACTATCAAGACCACATGCCCGGGAAAACTGACAAAAGGGGCTTTGTTTCAGCAGGACAATGCTCCAGCATACAAGTCCATGGTTTCAGTGGCTGCTGTACATGACTGTGGTTTTGAACTGGTTGATCACCCTATCCTATTCTCCTGATTTTCCCCAATATGGAAGAACACTTAGCTGAGAACCAGTATGGCAGTGATGTTGTCAAATCTGCTGTTATTGACTTTTTTGACCAACAAAGTGAACAGTCAGATGTCAATTTACATGGAAATAAACAATGCAGTTACTAATAAAGAGTTGAAATTAATGTATCACTCTTTTATAGTCAGCCTATGAACTTTTCGGCCCACTCTTGTATGTTGTACAGTTTAACTACTTTGAGACAAGTTACTGGTAGCTGTCTGTCCTTATATGTATTGTATCTCAGATATCTCCATGGGAGCAGTAATGTACCTAACAGTGACAAAGTTGATTATTATCTATCTTGCTCTCTTGCCAAGTGATAACTGCTATATTCTTGATGTTATAAAGCATGTCCTATTCTCCTTTTGATATTGTTTATATTCCATGCTAATAGGAATATATACTTGAACAACAAGGTGGATAAAATAAGTAAAGGTTTATTTAAAAAAAAAAAACCCCAAAAAAACAGTACAATAAGAATAAATGTAACAGTTATGCAAGTCAATCCAGTAGTGAGTGCTACCATTGGAAGGTTGGTAGTTCTCTCGTAAGTCTGAGTCATACTCAACAGATCCCAGCTAGCCTCTGTAGTCAGTTGACTTACAAATACTTATAGGTAGTTACTACCTAGAGTGTAGTCACTCATGGGGGTGACAGGTTATTCCATTACATCAGATATTTTTTTTTTATTATTATTATTATTATTATTATTGAGAAGTCCTTGCAATTCATCATTGCATTACCGTGTATATTAATGTTTTTCATTGCTGTATAAAAGTTATTGGTGTGCAATTAATGATTCTACCCAAAAAACTCTTCAGTCCTAAGTATGACAATAAACTACATCCAGCAAAAGGGCTCTGATTGGGAGGTTTTTAGCAGTGTGGAACCACTTCTTAATTGCTATTGTTCCCAGGTCCACTTTGACCCAGGGTGATAGCACATGTTAGGGTCCCAACTATGGGAAAATAATCAACCCTCAAACAAACAAAACACTATGTAAGTATAAAAATACATTTTTATAGTAAAAATACTAGCAATACATTTTTATATAAAATGAAATACCAACAATACATATTTATAGTAAAACGACCAGCAATACATATTTATAGTGAAATGCATACTTAAATCAAAATGATTAGCAGTACATTTTATCTGTGGTTGAAGGCATACAATTGTGTTGAAAATATTTAGATTTTGGTATCAAATAACCCATAGAGGTTGATCTACCACTAAACAAAATCAACCAATCTTCAGTAACACAAACAACTACCAGATTTATTATAACATTTTACTAATATAGAACTTAGTATAGCAGATTCCATCATTATCACTATTGCACACTGGAATATATACAGAGTATGATTGGTAAATTATCGCCATTTTATATATTTTAAATTTCATGCATGAGCATTTTGTTTTTGATTTTGTCGACTGCATAGTATAGTAGGGTCAGTTGGGCACCGTCCATGAGAAAAAGAGCACCATGATGCAATTCACTCTGCCAAAAATTTGGAAACAGCATGCTGTACTGCTTGGCATTTGTGCCAGAAGCTCAGAGTCATGATTGTCAGACAATTTCTGTGACCATATCACCCCTTACATCTGGTCACCTAACTCCCCAGACTATTATGTGTGGTGTGCAGTTGAATGAGAGACTAACAAAACTCTTTGTAACACCAAAGATGAACTGAAGGCAAAGATTATAGCAGCTTTCATCAACTCAAAAGGAGAATATCCAGATGAGTTGCAGGAGATTCCAGTGTCATCTGGAGGTTGTGATTGAAGCCAATGTGGCAATTTTATTGAATAAATTTGCTTTTTGGTATTTCAAGATATTCTTGTGTAATTTTGGTAAATATATCTGTTAAAATGAGATGTCAGTGTTACTTTCATTTTTGTATGATTTAAACGACAATTTATCCATCCCACCATGTATAATTTAACATTTAATTTAATGTTTTGTACTTGTCTGATGGTAAATTTATTTTTGGCAATGATCCTATTTTCATTAAGCAATACTTCACAACTAATAATTTTTCACATATAATAATTTTTGAATTTGGCATCTACCATGAATGAGTTTTGTAGATTTGATTTATTTATTTATTTTTATGGAGCAGGCATTTCTGTTTATTTACACAGTGAAATATTGGCCACAGTGGGAGCATGTCCTCAATTTAGGGCATCCATTTATATTTCTAGTGTCAATCAAGCTAATATCATTTTTACAGTTAAGCTTACATCATAAGGCACATAAATGTTTCCACTTTTCTCAATGTCATTTTCTGGCTCAAAATTGTTCTTTCTATGTGTTAACCAAGACAGCATCCAGATTTTTACTGATAATTTCCTTTTACAGTGAAAAATCACCAAATTTGCTCACAAAACTTGCTTGCTTTACTCAAACTTAGGAAATTCAACATCAAAGAACCTGTACTGTGATTGGTTGAAAAGCCTTAGGTCAAATTATGGTTCACGGTCAAATTGCATAGATTGTGAGAACATTGTCATATTTATAAATATGCTAGTTATGCATAGTGGTGTTATACCAGCTGTCTGAGTTTAAAGATTTTGAATTTTAGTTTGAGATAAAGAAAAGATTTTTTTTTTTTTTTTTTTTTAACATTTTCTTTCTAGAATTCATGTTCAGCTAATAAATAGCTTTCATTTCACCATTTTAATCTTTTTAAATATTGACCTTTCTTTAATTCTTTTTCGAAAGTATTTATGTTATATCTTACTTTGCTGTCTTTTTGCTCACAGATGCGAGGTTACTGTGAAAAATCAGCCCAAAAGATTAGGAACAGTAAAATATGTAGGTGAGTAATGACTTTTTATTTTTTCTCTTATGTTAAAATTCTCAATTAACCCTTTAGCATTCAAATCTAAACAAACCAAGCCTGTGAATATCGGCTCACAATGTTCAACCTGCCCCATGAATACTCTTCCATAATATATGACAACATCATTGCTCATAAGCCATGAAACTTTGACCACAGATATTTATGGAGTAAGTTTGTGTTGAATGCTAAATGGTTAATAATGAATTGAATTGAATCACAATTTTAAGTCTCTTGAAACTTAAGTTTATTTATCTGAAATCTTAGATGGTTTTATATAATTGTGAAATTAAATAAGGAAATGTAGGAAAGGCCTTAATAACCCTTATTAATATGACTTTGCAATTATTGTAAGATTTAAGTGCATTTTATTATTATTATTAATCTGTGATCATTGTGCATTGATTTAATCAATTAGTCTTACAGAAATTTTTAAAAATTTTCTTAAAGTATTTTTATATTTTATAGACTGCAAAATTTAAGCTGAAATTTGTTACACATGCTCTTAATCTCTTGAACATGATTGACTATATAATTTTAAAAAAATTTTTTTTGATTGTTCAAGGATATTTCAGTTTGAAAAACAATACAATTCAAATGAATTCTTTTACAAAAAGAAACTCAAGCTAAAAATATAAAAAATATTTATGCACACAAGAATTAGATGAACTCTATCGATATAAAAGATATTATCACTAATATTTGTACATTTCTTTCTTTGTGTCTTCTGTTTGTTTTAATATGATCTTGAATTTTATTATTCATTTTGATTTGATTTTTTGATATTTCACTGCTTACAAAGTATGTAAAGAAGATAGGTGTTAATTACTATCCATAAGAGCAAAGGTTTGGTATCTTAATGTGATGAAATTTAAGGAAATCTCAAAACATAGTGGATATTAATGTTCAAAGATCTTACACCAACAATGATGATCTTTTTTATAAATGATATCAGCTAATAACAGTTTGTGCATACAGTTCCAGATCACCTTGATCGTACTGTATTTAAAAAATAACTGAATTTTGAAAATTGCCAAAAATGGTACTATTCTGGTTAAAATAAAAAAATGTATCTGTAAAATTGATAGCATAGTAAATAGAAATATTTCCTTAGCACAAAAATAGCATCCCAACAGAGCTTATGCTACACTGAAAACCTCTGGTGATAGACACTTCTATATTGTCCATAAAGTAATGGTTATCAAGTACATTCTTGTTTGCTGCCACATGCAAGTTTTGGTGTAAGAGATAACCATTGTGATTTACCATTGTTTTTGCATATTTTCTTTTATTATCAAACTGACCATTGTTTGAGTTTCTTTTGTGACTTTGTTTAAGGTTAGTTACATGGGAAATCACTAGCAATATGTAACTATTATTTAAAAATTGTATTTTGTCCTTCTGATGGAAATGTAATAAGTCGAAAAATAAGTTTGCAAAAAACTTTCAAACAGAAACTTAATGTGAAAATGGAAAAAAATGTGATAATGTACAAGTTGGATATCATTTTGTCAATAATTGCAATGTAGTACCATACAATGCATTCTTGTTGAAGAACTTTTATGTTTTTATGAATTTGGATATAAAGTATATTTGTAAATATGTTTATAATTAACACTACTCATGAAACTGCATTTAGCAGTAAGATAACATAATGGAATTAAATCTTAGTTTGCATGCAAATGTCTCACCTGCTGAAGTCATATGGAGGTGATCTCAATATTAGATATACATATATTCAGTTTATAGATTTCAATTCACATTCCACACCAACAAAGAGTGTATTTTCATAGAGGATATAGACTTCAAGCAGCAGCCAAACATGATTGAGAAACACATCTTGCAGCATTGTTCATGCTCAATCTTGGAGATGAAAAATTAAATGTATTATGAAATCTTTATGTATTTCTTTAACTGAATGACAGAAGATATCAGAATATTATGTGTTCAGTAAGTCCTAGAGATGTTGAAAAATTTTATTTCTACATATTGTTGCTCCATGTTCCAGGAAGAAGATGCTATGAAGAACTGAGACTAGTTAAAGAAGTTATGCCAACTTTCACAGATGCTTACATAAAACAAAGATTAGAAAATGTCAGTCAGTCAGTTATATGCCATGTGTGATACACACTTAGGTGATCATGTATCTTTCAATACATGACTGATCAGGCAGATTTTTTCCCGCAGTAGTTTACCATTTCATTCTACGGTAGACCAGTGACATCCAAGGCTAGAGAACCCAGTCTGTCCTGCTATTTACCCATAGCTGGGGGGAGAAGAAGAGGATTCATACCTTTCCCAAGGGTATTAGTACGTAAGTGAATGTAATGGATTAGACTGGAATTCAAACTTGGCTCTCCGATTCCTCAATCAGAGCCGCTACCCATTACTCCACCATGCCTCCTATTACTCCTCAATTGTTGGAAGAGTTTTCAGCATTTAGAATGCCATCCCAGCTCTCCATGATGTTTGCTACAATTTGTACTTATTACCATCCAGCAAATATCATGAACATGTAGGAGTCCTTTAAAGATGAAATGATTGAAAAAATTTTTGTATGGGGGGGGGAGTAAAACCAAGCAGAAAATGCTGCTCTTCATAGTACACGCAATTATTAATGAAAATGAAAAATTTGTTGAACAATTGATTTACCACAAGTGGAAAACATAGAAATAAATTACTGTTAATTGTATAATCTATAATGCACAAAATATTTGTAGTTGAAAGCATAAAATTACATACAAAATATTTAGATTTCAGCATTAAATAACCCATAAATATGTTGATATGCTGCCAAACAAAATCAACCAAATCAATCAGCTTATGTTCATTAAGTATCATTGTTGTCTGATGGCATTTTTATTTAAACTACTTCTACTGTTGACAAGCACATGTAACATATCCCCTATCTCTGAACAAGAGTTTAGTACTAATTGTCATAGATGCAGCATCAATGATATCTACGTTTGCCATTCATTGATACATAGCTTGTTTAAACAGTATTTTTGATGAAGACAAATCTTACCTATTCATCAACAAATAAGTTACTCTTGATATATGCCTCAAATGCTCTCATCTCTGGTTGAATTTCATTATCAATTAAGTCAAAAGATACAGGCCATGAAAGAACACTTTGCAAATTGGTTACTTCAATGTAAAAATGGAACCACTACTATAATCACCCAGTTATCAATGCCAGATAATATAGAGGTACCATCCATATCATGTGTAGAAGGGTCTATGGCCAACTGTATTTTCAATGATACAACTCAAGAAAAGAGAAATGATCACAATATCATATAAGAACACTGATATTCCTTGAATGAAGATGTTCTAACCTCATTTCCTATAATTTTATAGTGACTTTTCAGTATAAATTTTAGAGCTACTGAACATTAAGTAATGACTTACGTGCTAAGAAGTCATTAGTTAATGTTCAGTAGATCTTTGAAATTTATCCTTCATTCTATCTGACCTGCCCTCATACAGAATGAATCTAAAAATTGTTGATTCTAATGCTTTTGCACAATATATCAATTTAGCAAGAACTTTGCAATAGATAAATTTGAAAGCATCAGCCTACATGAGAATTGTTTTGTTGTTTTATTAATAAGTGGTGTTCTTGCAGTAAGATTAATTTTGATACAAACAATGAAAATGCCAAGTGACCAAAATTTTCCATTGAATGTAGAACAGATTTTGTTCCTTCTTAAATTCTAATATGCCATGACAATAAAGCACAAAGTTGGAATCTAGTTACCCAAGTTTACATATGCTGCTTTCTCCAGAACTAAACTATCAAATATAACAATTTAAGTACTGAAAACTAGCACCCAATGAAGAGGAAAGTTTACAAAAATGTATGCAAAAAGATTTTAAATTTGTAAAAATTATATATGTATGTATGTCTTTTTTGTTTTTTTTTAAACAACCTGAAGCTTTATTTAATATTTTTTGGGTATATTCTTATAGTTAATATATTTCATAGGTAATAAATTGTTCTAACAAAATTATAGACTTTAATTGCAAAATAAATATGAGATTAATGATGTTTTAGTTGTCAACATCCATAAAATTTCCATGGATTCAATTAGTATCATGATTGTATAATATAACATCTTTGTAAAATATATTGTTTACACTCTTTTAATCTTTTTTTTGTTAGGCTTGACAGAATTCCAACCTGGATATTGGGTTGGAGTCCAATATGATGAGCCATTTGGGAAAAATGATGGCAGGTAAGATATGCTTGATATGAAATGTTTGCTTTCCCCACTCCCATTTGCTAGAAACACTGCATTTAGTGAGTGCATATTCCCACTGTCTAGCTTGTCAGGTGCTAAAATATACTTCAGTATAAGGAAAAATTTACCTTTGCATCTATCTCTTCTTTCATGAAACTGTATAAAGCTGATAACCGATTGGAGTCTAAGAAAAGAAATAATATTTGGAGAAGTTAACATTAATGCAATATATTCTTTACTAAGGAATGTTTTCTTGATTGTTTCTGTCAGTTGATTAATCGCTTTAATGTTACTATTAAAGTGATTTTTGCTGAAAAGATAGAATGATTTAAGCAATGAAAATTCACCGTTAATAAATTCTTTTCACTTATTTCCATTCAAATTAATTTGTCATTCATAAACAGTTTCTAAAAAGAATAGTAACATTCTTTAAAATGCAGGTCTCATTAATACATTTTTTTTTTTTTAATTTTTTTTAAACGAGAGATTATTTCACATGTATATTTTCCTTCCCTTTCTTAATCAATCCAAAATGATTGATTTTTTTTTCAATTTCTATTTGTAAATTGTTACATCTGGAATACTTATTCAAGTTTTCAAGTAAAATATTTTCCCTTCCATTTCACTAAAATGAATGAAAAGTTTAACAGTTAAAATAAAAATCTTATGTGAATTAACACATTTACATTTGTATAATTCCTGATAAAATTAATACACTTCACCTTTTTTTTTTTTAACTTGGTTCCTTACTTTTCTTTGTCTTCTTTGGTATGATGATAAACTACATCTGGCAGCAAGGCTTCTGATTGCAAATCTAATGGCAAATAGTGAACCCCCAAACAAAAATCAACAGTACATCTTTTTATAAAATAGCCAACAATCCATTTTTATTGCAAAATGACAATCAATGCAACACTAAAAAAATATAAAAATACATTTTTATAGTAAAATTAACCAACAATACATTTTACAATCTACAAAATATATATCTAAAAAAAAACATACCTTTACTCTGAACTATATAAAATATCTGTAATTGAAACTATAAAATTACATACAAAATATCTAGGTTTTTGGCATTAAATAACCCATATGCTGCCAACCAACCAACATGAAAGAACTTTCATGATATTAGTCCATATAATATCCTACAATTTCTTAAAAGAATCAAACTGTATTCCAAAATATAACTTCAGCAAAACTACAACATATCACTGCCTCTAATAACCATGTCCACACAAACATGTATATGCACAAAAAGCTGAGTATCATCTACCATATATTCACTTGTGAAACCAGAATAACATATCATATATTTTTATTACTTCAAACCTCCCAAGAAAATTAAATTTTGGTATTAAATGACTTTTAAGGAGTTGATATGCCATTAAAGAAAGTAAGGAACCACTTTTCATAAGATTGTGATAACTTTATAACAAAATAATACTCTAATAATAATGCTAGTGGTTGAGAGCTCATTAGAAGCATAATGCAAAGTTGCATCTGTTCAAATGAATTTTTAAGAAATTTGATTGTTTAGTTCTTTCAACTCCCATGAATTGCAAAGCATTTTATGAAAGGGTGGAGTACTGCTTATCAATGAATTATCCAAATGTTTATTAGTCCCATGGAAAAATCTCAATTATGTATAAATATGCCCATGTACAGAAATGTTTCAATTTATGTATGTCAACATATTTCTTGCAGATAGGATTTTTATGATAGATACTGACCATATTTTATTATTGTATGATATTGATCTGAATGTCCTGATATTACTGCATGAGATTCTTTTTTGTGCCATAACTTACAAGCAATGTTTCCGTCTTTGACCAGTAGCATCAAGGAAGTCTCACTTTGTTCCATGAATATTGTTGTGAATTTTGGCCTTTAGGCCTTGTTAAGGCCCATTTCAAAACCCAGTTTTTGATGTTTGTTTTGGATCAAGAGCAATCAAATATGCATTCTTTAATAAAAACAGCCATCTTCATATAATGGTTAAATAAAGTGCATAGAAAATCTGCTGAGAAACACTACATTTGTTACTATTGGTTTTGTTGTTGCTCCTTCATGTTCATCATAGCCATTTTGAACTTTCAGAATTTCTCCAGTGTCTTAAACCAGATCTTTAAATATTTTTCTTCTTCATTAACTTCCTGATTAACGCACACTAATTTACTATACTTTATAAAGGTTGCAATAGCATCCACCAAGACTAGCATAAAGATAGGTTACCTTTTGTACCTCTTCACATCAACATACAAATTGAATTTTGCACATCAATATCACATCCAATCTATATAATAAATATGAATGGCAGTGTGTCATACTTTTCAATTTTACTCCTAGAGGCCATAGCCCAACATATCATACCATTTTGGAATCAGACCGACTCCATAAACAAATTAAAAACATTCTGGGCTGGATCCAGACCTACAATCCTAAAATTGTGGATTCCAATGTTTTTATTATTGTGATTGTTTTTGGTGATTTATGAATTTTTTTAATTTTTTTTGTGACAAGTTTTATAACTTAGGAATAAATTTGGCAATAATCAAAATTAATTGAGAAATCCAGCAAAAGTTACCCATGAAATAAAAATAATTATTTGTATGGAGAGTAAGGACCTATATATATCAAATTTCTTTAAATTGGTGGCAGAAGAATTATTGTTGAACTTTTAAAAGATAAACTTAAATATTAATGCAATACTTAAATGCAGCAATCAATTCTGAGTTCTTCCGTAGATTATTGTTGCCTATCACACTAATCCTCCCTACCTGTTGTGATGAAGGGTCAATCAAGAGCCCTCCTTAGGAGTTAGCAAATGCTGCCCAATAGAGCGGCTTTTAAGCTAGTAGATTCTGGTGTGAAAAATTGTCTAACAGGGCATAGTGAACCAACATTCCTAGCAGTTAATTTGATTTCCACAAATCTCTGCCATTATTTAGTTCTGTCATTTGTTTTTTACAGCTTATCAACCCTTTTTGGGCTATTTGTGGCCATTTGTAGGACTTTGTTTATATTGCCCAACGTTCCCAAGTGGTCCCTTATTTAAGTACCAATTGGGCTCAACAAATTTTTGCACATCTGCATCAATGTCACATTCAATAACCCATAAATTAGAAATGTCCTTATTGAAAATTTCTGAAGAATAAACAATGTTTATAGATTCTTTTCCCATTTAAAGGCAAGGAGATGGGAGTAGGGTGGAGTTAGCTACTATATAAACCTTCCCTGAGGAATTGTATAATTTCAATGGGCAGAATATGGTCATAAATATATAAATTTTTTTTTTTTTTTTTTCTTGGTTAAAAATTGCATGCCCTCCACTACCATTGTTATCTAATTTGAGAGGCAATGCACAATTTTTGTAATTTGAATTGCAGCAACCTACTTCTGATGGATACTGGTATGTGGATCCAGCAGTTCACACACTGTGGGTATCATTGCGGCTTGCTTCTCTCTAATACATGGGAAGATAATTTTGAACCTTGATCCCGCTAAAAAAAATCTGAAATAATTATTGGTTTCAATTTAAAAGCATTTAGAATTTGTAGCTCTCAGTATGTACATAAAGAGAAATACATTTAAAATAATTTTAAAATCTTCCAATATGCAAATTTGTGTCTACAATGCTAAACTGTTTACAGAATTCATAGAATTAAAAAAGAAAATAAAAATAATTTTGATGAAACTAGGTACATATTACCTACCTCCTCAATAACAACTATAATTGAAAAGAATTTATCTAAACTTCAAATTTGTTACAATTGAAAACAATAAGATTTAATTAATACAAAAAAAAATAAAACCTAAAACTGGAATTAGATTTTACAAAATAGACTATAAAAGCATTACAAAGGTAAAACATTGAGGAATTTAAATAAAAGATTATATGAACACAAAGATAAATGATGCTTATTGCACATTTTTTTAATAAAAATTTAATTTGTAAATATTTATTAAAATGGTGGTAATTAAAATAATCTCTGGTAGTTATTATTTTCTCACATTTTGAATAAAAATGGTTGGAAAATAGTCTATAAACTTTACTAGGGAAACTGTAGATTAATATTTTGAAGCAAGTGGGCTTCTTATAAAAAGTTTTAGAAGTTTACAAATATTCAATTGAACTCATCAAGACTGTTCTTTCCTCCAATCTTGTTAGAGTTATTCACAAAGCCAGGTACTTTTATTGAAAATAAAGTATGCTCTTATTCATTATTAAAAGAGGCTTTCAGTTCTTTGAAAGCAAATTTTTTTTTTGCTGATCCTGAAACTTCATGCAGTACGGTGCAATTAAAAAAACAAGATTACTCAAATTTCAGATTTTTTTTTTTTTCCTGAATGTCAATGGATTTTATTCTCACATGAAAGAATTTTACAGAAAATGTTTGACAAAGCTTCAATATTGTAACACATCTATGTTAGTATCACTAAAAAAAATTTTTTTTTTTTTTTTTAATCTATAGAGGGAAAATAGATTATTGTATGCAACCAAAATTTTTTTTAATTCATTAATGGCCTTACTTTGATTCATTAATGGCCTTACGAATCTGAGTTTTTAATGTAATTTTCAATAATAAATCACAAATTCATTTTGATTTTTTTTTTTCTTTTTTTCCAGATTTTTAAAAAAATTCTTTCAATACTTAATAACTGTCTCCCCACTTTTGTTAAGCATTTTAATAAATATAACAATAACATAATGTAATTTCTTTAAAAATTTGTCTTTACATTAAAAAAAAAAAAAAAAAGTGGATTGTCAATTTTCGGAGAATATGTTGGCTAATCTATTTTTAAATATTTTAAAACTTTTCTAAGAAACTGTATGTAGCAAACAAGATGAAAGTCGGGTTGCAGCTCAGTTGTAGCCACTGTAATCCATTGTGGAAATAGAAGAAAGACATTAGTTGCTGTCAAAATGGAGGGAAGAGAGAGAGAAGATCAAACCAATAAGTTTAAAAAGCCTTTTTTCTTTAAGGTCTCACAATTTACAAGTAAAAGATCCTAAACAACTTGTTTTATGAATATGAAAGCAAAGTAAATGCTATCACATACCTATCATACAATTTAGAAATAAAGAAAAAAAAAATTCTCCCAAAACACCATTCTATGAAACGACTGGCTTACTGTCACACAACTATTCTCCTGGATTAATAATTGTCTCATCTTCAGTACTTCACTATTGTAAACAAATTTAAACTGAACAAAAAAAAAAATTCCTTCATTAATATTAACTATCAATGATTATTTTTTCATATTTTATTTATATTTTGTAATCTAAACCAGTTGTATGAATAAGCAACAAATTGCAAAGATGACTGAATAAAGTCAATATAGTGAATCAATCTCTAAAGTTGGATCTGCTCCTCTAAAAAAAAAAAAAAAAAAAAAATAACCCCCCTCCCCCATATCTAAAATTTGTGCTAAGACCAGAGTAGAGCAATTTCCTTTTATGCAGAAGAAAATGTTATTTTGCAAATTCTGCCTCTATAGTGTTGACATATTTAGAGTTGGTACAAAGATCACATTCTGATCAAAAACTCATTTGACAAAATTTTTTTAAAAAGATCGGCTCTATTGAAACAGATGAGAATCACAACTTTGTTGAAGAGTAAAGAGATAAGAGATGATTTTGTCCTTAATTTTTTGAAAATGTGAACTTTGTCTGACATTTCTTTACACAAAATTGAGAAAATGAAGCCGTTCATATTAAAACATTGTTAAGCAACTTCATCTACCAAAATTGCTTATCACTTTGTTGCCCTGAAAGCCAAGCTTGCTAATCAATCAGCCAGCATCATAACAGACAAAACAACTGACTGTTGTGACCACAACATTTTGAATGTAATTGCAAGCATTCATGGGGAGTCATTTCTCATTGATGTTGTTACCTTGGGAGAATGCAATCATCAAACTGTAAGTCAGGCATGCATCCAAGTTGTAACTCATGTGGATATTTCATTCAAGGATATTATTGCCTTCGTAACAGATTTTGCAGCCTATTGCAAAAAAGGAAGTGTTGTCAAATGTCTTTGTTAACACTTGCCATGTGTTGTGCTTTTAACACATATTTTAAATCTTGTTGGTGAATATCTTCATACAGGCCAGCATTTGATAATGTTACCTGGCTAGTTACTTTCATCAAGTCAGTCTTTTAAAAAGCTTAGTCAGAAAAAGCGATACTTAAAATGGCTTGAAGGTTCCTTACTTAAGGAACAAGTGAAACTACCTCCTGTACCACTGGCAACCACTGGTTAAATCTGCATTTTATAAATGAGAACTGCGCTTGTTTAATAACAGCTTTGACAAACTTAGAAGAACCTAAGTCTCCACTTGCATGTGTTGTATATAACATGATGGAGGATGTAAAACAATATTTGCATACTGGTACATCAAACTCAACATTTGGCCTAGAAACTGATTGTCTTCTGTCTGAGCTAGAAAACACAGAGAGGGAAAGAGTTTTCTCAAATTTCCGAGATTTCCAACCTGTGTATAACTTTTACAATGCAGCTTGCCTGTTTGATCCTAGACAACTACCCTGTATAGGCCATGATTTAGACAGTTTTGCAACCATCAAGGACTTGCATGTGCTTCTACTGATCTTGAAGAATTTTAAATGTATGTGAATTACCAAGATGATTTAGCAAATCCTTTTAATATCCCATCATTTTGGAATGCAAATAAGAGCAGATTTCCTCTTCTGGAACAGATTGCCAATAAAGTCATATGGATGCCTGTTACCAGTATAGATACTGAACGTTCATTTTCTCAGTATAAACATTTACTTAACAAACCACGTAAAAGTCTTACCCCCTGAGAACACCAAGCAACTCCCAATATTTTATTACAATGGAGATTTAGAGAAGAGATTAGAAGATTAGATACTTCCCAAATTAAGAAATTAGCAATTTTAAATTTGAGCTTGGAATTTCAACTAGGGATAAGTTGTTTTATTTAAATTTTCAATTAATATGTCTAATTTGTTTTTTGTTACAAAGATTCAGTTATTTGCTGTTGATACTTTAAATGTGATTTTTATATTATGAATTATAAATCAATCTAAATTCTTTTACTCAAAAAAAAAAAAATAATTTGAATGTGTTTTGAATATGTTCTTAAAGAATGAAGCTATGATTAAAAGTTCTAATTATGCACTGTAACATCCATTGTTTTATTATCTAGTCATGTTACATTTTTGTATTTTTTATATATAATTTATTTTTGGACTTAAATTTTTTATATATAATTTATTTTTGGACTTAAATTTTAATTTTAAAATTTAAAAAAAGATTTGTAGATATTTGCTATTTCTTTATATGCAATAAAACTTTGAATTATGTTTTTGTTTTCAGTTTTAATAATAATTATAGCTTATTGTACTGCAGTTTTCTCATAAAATACTATAAAATGGAAAAAATGAAATTTCCCAAAAGTAAAAACAGAAAAAAATTTAATTATCAAAAGTAGAAACGGAATCAAGGGAAATTTGAAATGGAAAATTGGAGGCACTAAGAATGCTACACAAAATCTGTAACATAACCAGGTCGACATTCAGTTGTGTTTTAGCCTTCAACACTTTGATTTCAATTGATCTGTATGGCATGAATTATTGGAATCAGCTGTAGCTTTTCTTTGAACATCCCATAAAAGATAAATCACAAATTCATTCATTCATTTGAAATTTATAACCATTCACTTTGTGTGTGTCAGTTTCAGTCCTTCTTAACATAGTTCTGGTTATTTTTTTTATACAGATCTGTGGGCATTGTGATTTTTTTTTTTTTTTTTTTCTAAAATGCATGCTGATATATGACAGCAATCACTATAAAATCATAAGTGATCTTTAAGAATGAAGCTAAAACAAAATATTACTCCTAATGTCATCTAATGATAAAAACAATGAACTTTTGAGTCAACCCAATATTTGAAAGATGAATAGAAAATTAATGTTTAATTTCATGTTGATTGCCCCCGCCCCCATAAAAATTCTTCTTCTCAACCTCCCCCAATCCCAATCATAAATCAAAGATTAAATTTCTTGAAAATAATTTTATAAACTTAGAGCTCATTGATAATAGTTGTGATGATTTGTGTTAGTGACATGTACTGAATCCTTTATGATCAGTGATTATCATTTGATTGTTGGAGTATCATGTAAATCTTTTGCAAGAATATTTGTGGATAGGCTTTGTATTAAAATAATTTCTGTATTTGTTTCTTTCAGTGTTAAAGGCAAAAGATATTTTGAATGCATGATGAAGTATGGTGGCTTTGTGCGGCCAAGCAATGTGACTGTTGGTTACTACCCAGAAGCCAATGAATTAGATGAATTCTAAAATGGTCAATGCTGAACATTCCTGTCACTTTTTCTATTGACCGTTTTCCAGCTATTGAATTGCAGAAACAGTCTGGAGTATGTAAATGTAAATTCCTGGAATTCTTCATGATACCAGATGGTATTATCAAAGAATGGAATATTGGTTGCTGCATATTTATATGTATTTGTATCTGCCTACCTGTTTGCCCATGACTCTTTCTCTGAAGGAGATACATGGGCAATGTTTTGGTTACCTGCTTGTTTGTATTTATCTTGGAAAATTATAACATGCCATTTTACAAATGTGTGTGCGCGTGCACGCACACATACACACATTTTCAGCCAAAAACTTAAGCATTCATTACTATGTCTACAAAAATCACATACAGGATATTCCCAAAGAAATGTTGTCCTTTCTCCTTTTTTTTTCCCCCCCCATCAATGCTTGATGGTTGGTTATTTAAAAATAAATATTTCAGTATAAAGATAAAAAAAGGATCTCTGGACTATTCTGTCTATAGTTTAAATATGCATATTTATAATACATATACAATCACCTGTTTGCATACACAAACTGCTTTAAAAATCTATGTAGTAATAAACACACAGGTAAATAGATATACAGTTATAAAACATGCACTAATATACATAGATTCATCTGTATGAAATCAGAAATATGCACATTACAAATCTTCAGATTTATTCTTGCTGAAGTAATTTGCCAATAGATTTTAACTATTGATTATTTTTTTTTACAGAGCTTTGTTTTTATTTACCATCACAATCTTAACTTTTACTAATAATCAGCTGTAAATATTTGTCAATTAAACTTTTACAGAAGAAAATCTGCATACATTTTATGCAGTATTTTTTATTTATTGTTTGCATATATTATTTCCAGCTTGTCTGTATTTCAGAAACATTTTCTCTAATTGTTTTCAAAGATGTCTTAGCATTCACAGGTAATAAAGAAAATTGATTTGTGGAGAGCCATGATTGCCTACATCTTGAAGGGACATAGTCATAACTGTGTTTTTTTTTGTTTTTGTTTTTTTAAATGCTATGAAAATTAGAAATGAATCATCCCATATTAGGGAGAAATATTGCCTTAAAAAGTTGGTTAAAATGTTGAAGAGCTTGTTTATAAACAGGCAGGGTTAGTGTTATTGTTTAAGATGTATAATTAGTGTATTTGGATTAATATCTTATTTTTAATTGAAAATAGATAAAAACCAGAAAAGTGTTCATCCAAATGAATTGATTGTACAATCTGAAATTCTGGCAATGATGTTAATATAAATTTGAATTTTCAAGAATACAGAAAATTTTTTACAGCTGACAAGACAAAAAAAACCCCCCAAAAATGTAATAAATATTTGATTAGGAAAACTTGTTTCTCTTTAAAATAAAATCATTTTCAGACAGTTTTATTTCCCCTTCATCCCAGCTTACCATTTACTCCTGCATTTTTTCCACTGAATGTCCCTTGTGATTAACCCAACCAGGAAGATGATTTTAGGTTTTCTTAAATTTTGGCCTTCTAAAATTGACATTAATGAACCCTACTTTAATATCCTTTAGCACTCTGCATTATTATTACTTCCCTTCTTTTTCAAGGCTTCTCAATTGCAGTGACCTTATTGTTAATTTCATTCAAATGTGTTTTCTGTTGACATAGCAACCTATGACAACACAACTATGAAATTCAAACAAATTCAAATTCAGGGATCCGTCATAGTTAGTTGGACATTGTAGCTGATACTTGACACTGTACCTCTTCCACCTTATAGGTGCCTATACGCTGTTATTGTTTTCCATTTCTTAGGTATTTAATCTGGCTTTGGTGGTTTTCAAGTCATTCAGATCATCTTTACATGATTCTTTGGACATTTCCATAGTATTTGTCTGATTGATGATCTCTTCTTCTTCTTAAGGATCTTCTGGAGCTTTGATTTTCTTGAGAGTGCTTATAGTTTTGATGGGTTTATTCTTCACAGAGTATGAAAGTAGGGTGCTAATCTTGCTTACCTTGCTTGTCATCTTTTTGGTTTCCAATAGTTATATGGTCTCTTCTTAAATTGTTGTCTAGACCCGTGTTTCCCAACTTATAGTCCATGGCAAATTTCAGATGGGCCACAGAAATTTTATAATTTTTACTGGGCCACAAGCTAAAAAAAAAAAAACAGGTTGGGAACTACTAGTGTAGACTGTTCTCAGAAGTCATGGTTATTTTCAAATTGTTAAAGGAAGGAAAATTAATTTCTAAGATTAACTATCAATTGATATATTTTAGAAGGCAGAATTTAAACAATATTTATCTTTATAATTTGCTACAACTTGCAGGTAAAAACATTTTTCAACAATTATCAAATCAGCAAAGACACTAACTACAAACACCATATTTTCACCTTTCAAATAGTTACCGCATTAACAAGATTGTTGGAAAACTCACCTAAAGGTGAAGAAATTTCTTTGCTAGAGGGGTTGATGAGTGATTATCAGATATAATTTCTCTTTACATGTCTGGCCTAAAGAGTGCTTCCTTCTGAGGCAATAGCAAGCCAGTATAGCTAAAAGTCTTTAGTCTAGTGACTTGAGTTTTAACTGGGTATCGCATACTAACACTATGTATGTAAATGACTACATACAGTCATGCAAAAGTATTGGACATGCACAATTTTTAAAGGCTAATCATTTTACTGTCGAATTAACTAGATATAACCATAAGATCTTTTCTAATAGTTTCTTTTCTCATACTTCTCACCTGTGGAACTCTCATCCGATTTATTGCTTCTCTGTCACATCAATTTTCTGTTCTTTTATTGTCTTTTCTCCTCACTAAAGTATTCTCATTCCCTTCCACTCCCAGTAACACCTTACATCTTAATGATATTATCGCCATGCTTGGGATGAAATGATTTAAAAAAGAAAATAAAAACAATTTATTATGTGATTACAAACCTAAAAAATTGAGTTGAACATAGTAGATACTTGGCATATTATATACAGGGTTCGTGCAGGTCCTGAAAAATTTACAGGGATTTTTCCAGAGTTTGAAAAATTCCAGAAAAACAGCAATTGCCCAAAAACTGCTTGAAAATTCCTGGAATTTTCTAAATTGGGCTGTCTACACATCCCTTTTCATGAAAGTCAAAATGGCAAATCCCAGAAATCTGGCGTTTTTATAAGCTAACATTGTCCTTTTAAGAAAAATGTTTTTTAGTTGTCAGTAATATTTTGGAAATTATTGCAAACAGTGGCTTGTTTCCTTGATTAGAACAAGTTCATGAACTCTTAATTACTTCTATATTTTCTCATCTAGGTGATGAGAAAATATGATGGTGTGTCTTCTACCTCAACAAGTAAAGCGGAAAACAGGTAAAAGGTCTCAGAGACAAGTAGAATCTCTAAAAATTTATCAGTGTTTTTTAAAATTTGAACGACTGAAGAAATTTTATTCACATGTCAATTTCAAAAGTACTTTTGAATATGCTGAAAAATAGATACTTTACACATCCTGTGTCAATGTGTATCTTATGTGTAAACTACATTTGTCTAATTTGTTGACAAAAGTAACAAGTTTGAGAATCAAATTTGACTCCAAAAAAAAAAAAATGTAGACATGAATGATAAAATAGAAAAAGTGCCTTTTGAGGCAAGAAAATGCATCTTTTTAAAAAATAAAAAAAATGTTATTTTTTAAAGTTGCAGGTTAATGATGACTTTTATCTCTAGCTTTTGTTGTAAGTGAAAAAATGATGAAATTAAAACTTATTTGGCTTTTATTGCTTGGTTTTGTATTAAAAGTTCAATCTGGCAACCATACCCCTTTACTTTTTTATTTCTGCCATAAGATGGCTAGAAAATGTACAAACATGTGAATGACTCCTAGACACTTAACCAGATGTCATCAAATTTGTGAACTTAATTAAAAAAAAAAACAGAAAAATGTCCCCAGACCAAGTCCTTCTCTGTGGTGCTGTCAAATGTGAATGACATTTTATTTCCAGTGAAATTGCAGATGCTTCGAAAGACATTGAATCCTTTCTGATTTCCTTGCAGATGATCTTTTTTAGCATGATCTTGAAATTATTAACATTTGTAAAGGAAGAGCACACTAAAAAGATAATTACATTTTCCAAACTGAATGAATTTGTAAGAATTTTGCCAAATCCAAACATGCATAAAGGTGCTGCAAAGATCAAGTATGGATTTCTGGCAAGGCTATGCAAAATTTATCCAAAAAAGAAAATATATCAACAAAAGATCCATTTGTCTTCGTTGCACTTCTGCATGCAATATTCATGATCATCATCATTGAGAAACTTCTGGCAAAGTCTTCCCTTAGATATCCTGTTGTAAGGTCATTTGCATGGCTGAACCTTGGATCTATTTGTGAAAATAAAATTGCCGCATCATTAGTCAGTACAAAGAGTTCAAGGAGGAGGCTGCTGGAATTATTGCTTTCAAGAATTTCACCAACTATGAAGACCATCTGGACACTTGGTTCTACTCTTTGTCTTGCAACAAAGAATATTAAAAAAAAAAAAGTTGTTTGCAGATTGCTGGTACTCTCTCGTGGAGAGAGGTTTCTCAGTCAGTAAGGAAATTTTCACTAACAATATGAAACAGCAGACTCTGGTCGCACAGTGCTTTATCACAGACTATTTCAAGGTGCTGAGAATGTTCTCATGACTAAAGCTCTTCTCTGCAGTGCTTCCAATACCAGAACAGCATACAACCAATACCTTGAGTCTAAGAAGAAAAAATGTAGGAAGAAGCATCTGGGCAAAAACAGAAATCCATGCTTATGGAAATTGAAAAACTGAAGACCAAAAAACAAGCTTGAAAGTTATGCACAAGATTTGCATCAAGTCAGCTGGTGACTATGCGGATAAAGTTGAGCAGACTCAGAACTTCAAACATATTGCAACGTCCAATGCCATGCGAAGATCTGAAAAAGACAATTCCATAGAGTTATCCAAATTGAAAGAGGAGCTGAATGCTAAACTACATAAA